TGAAGAAAGAGGGGTCTCTACCTAAACTAGCAATGATTCTGAAATCGGAACCGGAATCTGGGTATTCCGGAATAGACTATCCTCAACTATGTTCATCTCAATCTTGCAGGGTCATAGGGCGATCGATTGATCTCTCGCCACGGATTCTTCGTCTCAGGATGGCTCTTCCTCTGCCAGGCAGCCATCAATGAAGTCCTTGCAAGCGACGCAAAGATCCAAAAAAAGAGGTCCAAACAGAACACAGGCACCCAATCATTGAGAAGTAAGAACCCCTATGGCTATCGCTGTCTGGGCGGTTGATGTAGATGTCTACTGTGCTTCGATCACCAATGGATGACCCTCTCTTGAGCATGGCATATGTCCCTGGCCTTCAAAGACCATGTAAATGGGTTGACCCGGCTTTGCAGTGTCAAATCCTTCGCAAAACCATGGTTCTTCGGGCGCTGAAAAGCGCCCACATTCATAGTGGGCCAGGAATGCATCTAAAAAATCGCCATCCATGGATTCTCTCCCTAGAAATGCCCCCAAGAAGCCGGCTTCGGGCCCTGGGCCCGAACCACGACCAAGTCGGTTCCCTCGGACCGAGTCGGTTCCCTCGGACCGAAGGGTGTCCGGTGTCCCGCTTGGTTTTGGGAGCGATGCGGTGGGTTGATCAGTTCAGAGATGAACAGTGAAACGAAGGCTTTGATCATCAGGTTTTGAGAAAATAGGCTTCATCATATGGGATCAGTTCAGATGGCATGGCTCAAGTCCTACAGTTCAAAAAAATAAATAAGAATAAACAATAAAACTTCTGGCTCAAGTCCTGATGTAAACCACAACTTGGGATTTGAGCCAAGAGTCAAAATAGAGAACATCACTGCCTCCCCGAGCCCCGCGGAACAAACCGGGAAACCAAGAGCAACACAACACCCTCTCATTCAACACGGAAAGGAGCCGCCGACGGTCACCTGCGGTTCTTTCACTCCTGAAAGCTCCTTTGGAACTGCTGGCAAGCCGGAAAGGCTACCTGCAAAGACCAATGTCTCAATAGCGCTCATGTCAACCCTGTGTTGACTTGGATACCATGAATTGGTGACTGTGTGCGGGATGAGCTGTGAAGTTTTGAGTCTTTCCAAATCAAAAACGTAAAGCAATGATGCTTTACTGCTTTAAACTTTATGGCCCTTAGGGGGAGAAGTATCAACCACCACCCATGGTGATCATCTGTGGTCGCCCCATGTTTTCGCTCCAAGTGTGGCTGTGATTCGGAGGCTTCGATCGTATCTCGTCACGGTTGCAGGGCCCATGTCCAAGAGTTCTTTCTGTAAGTCGATTTCATGACATTCAGGAGTCATAACATTACATTCAGGTCTTATATGGTCTTATAGAGTCGCGCGCCCCACTTTTTGATCAAACAATTGCAGCTACAAAGCACCCAACTTGGAGGCGGGGCCTGCTCTTTTTTGCAGTGAGTGATTGAAGATTTGGATGATTTGGGTGTTTTCCATTCATGTCATTCACCATCATTCACCAGCACCTTGCATGGATCTCGTCACTGCGTCTTCTTTCGATAATTGGACACAGAGTTCATTCACAGTTGATTCCACAATCACTTAGAACTCACTCACAAGGCCTTGCTGTGCCATCATGGACGAGTTCATTTGCCTTGTCAGGAAGGACGAGTGCTGAGTGAGTCCGTGTATGCCTTTTAATCTGTGTTTGTTGAGTCTCAGTTTGTTTGAAAGGTTATTGGCTCATAGCCGGCGCCAACCAATTAATGTTTGTGCTCTGGCCTGCTTGCCGGCGCCAACCACCACTGCTTGTGCTCCTGCACCTTTGCTGGCGCGGACCACCACCACTGTTCTGGGGCCCACCATCACGGCTCATAGCCTGCCTGCAGCTGATGCTGCTGCTGCTGCTGGCTCTTTTTGATCGAACGGCCGAAGGGCTTCAACATTACATGGAGGTGGCATCACCGGAGTCACCGTTGATCACTGCGACCAAACATACCAAACCTTTCCAAAAAATGGGTCCATTTCAAAAAGGCTTACACAGACTAAAAGGCTAACTTATCAAAGCGCGCAGACTGCAACGCAGGAGAAGATGAGTGAGCAGTCAGTTTGACAGACGGGATACAAGGTGCAACCTGGTGGACCGAAGTCGATCGATAAAGCCAGGAATATTGGATGTTGGGGGAATTGGGAAATAGATGTTCTGCAACAACCAGGCTCATCAGTCACCACTCATCACTGATCACCCTTTGGGCGACATGTCATCATTCATTCGTCATTTATTTTTAGTTTCTCGTGAATCTCATTCGAATGAATGTCACTGCCACGTTGCCACGTTGCTTCGGATTCGGTTTTTCCTTTCTTGCGCGCCCCTATTGGCCTAGTAGTCCTCCAAGGAAACAAAGAGAGTTGAACCCCAACTTAATCCAAGCTCGACCGCCAGGTGCTGAGTTGTTTTCCGCCGGGGCCCGAATCTGGAACCATGAGACGAGGATCGGAGTGCCGCTGTCTTTGGGCACCTGCTGCATTTTCAGCCACGTTTTGGATCGAAGCATAGAAAGCTACTAAAGGGCTTGGAATATAGTGGATTGAGCAAATGGATAATCTGACAGAGATCATACCCGGCTTGTAACTCCTATAGGGTGCAATTCATTCATCATTAAACTTTAATGTAGTATTTTGACATATTTTGACATTTGTCCAAATGAGATCATGGTAGAAACTCTAACTTTGTGCATATTGTCATATTGCATCCGGCCGGCTTCTTTGCACATGCTGATTCGCTCAGCCTCGCCCCAAGAGAATTGGCCGATGATCGTTTGCTGAACTTATTTTCAGTCGTGCAAACAGCATGTCGATTTAGTACTGATTTAGTAATAGGCTAAATTGAAAATCCACCTCACAGGAAATCAGTCATGTGTGGTAGGGCTGGCATGGGCTGGCTGTCCACTCAGAAACTCTCAGGTTGCCGCCCTTCGCCTGCGTCGGTGATGAGTACAGGACGGTTGGTTGAGCGCCAAAAAGTACAAAGAAACACTGTTTTTTGAAGACGTTTGGTTTCTGTCCCTGGTTTCTGGCTCAGTGGGGCCAGTTACCGGTAAGGCGTCAGCTTGTCATCGTAGCTGGGGCTGGTTCGAATCAAGCTCCAGCTACAATGACAAGCTGAAGGTTGGAGGTTCAAGTGGTTCATTTTGGCGGTTGCCTCCCAGAGAAAATTTCAAGTAAACCCCACTGACACCCTCCTCTCCCTACTTGGTCAAAAACTTGGACTAAAATGGGCTTCTTGAACTTCTTGCTACCTGGACGTGTACTCAAACCACCACCGCTTTTTATTCTGCAGTATCCTGCAATGATCTGGGCTGGTGTTGGTCGTATAATCAGTATCATCTTCATCTTCACCCACCCCTCCACGGAAAGAACAACAATTACGAAGCCTTGCTGCAGGAGTGAGGCCCAAGTGAAGGTTGTGGCGGCCTGAGCAGGTTCAGTGTATTCCAATGGGCGGATCTGACCTTCATCCATGTTCTCCGATACAAAGTTTGGTCACTGGATTCCAAGGATTTATGAAATATTTGACAAATCATTGTGTTGAACCACTCTGTCTTACTAGGCTATGACACGTGTCACTAGATTCAGCAGCGCAGTTCTGAATCTTCCATGTTCACATGTTCGAGAACGAGCTGAAAATGGAAGTAGCTCAACACCTGCCTCAATGAAAAATGACAAACGTCTTCAGTACACAACATGACATTTGGATTAATCCCAGGTTTGCGAGGTGTCTTATTCAACAAAAACTACGCACGCCAAGAAAAGGCGTCTGAGTCTGTTTGTAATGCAAACGCATGCAAACGCATTTGTTCCATGGTGGGCCCCTGCAACTTTTCAACTCTCCGTCGTTTTAAGCTGCTGTTTGGCATGCCATATTTTTTGCCCGAACAGAGCTGCTTAAACATATTCCCGTTGTTGATGAACAGTGGCCCATTTCAGTATCATGCTGCTCTACACTGATTTGCGACCTTAGCATGTTGCTGGGCAATTCTACCTCGCACGCTATCGTGCGCTCAGGGCTTCAAAAGATGTCATCGGCTCAGAGAAAGAGGCCTGGCAAACTGATGCGCGCTTGCCACTCCTGACTTGCGCAGTTTTGAGTAGGTATTAGGTCTTAGTTTTGCAGTTGTTCTTGATCAATTGCAAGGTTTCGACCACTCTTCAAACTGCAACCCAGCCTGCAGACTCTTTGTCAGATGCGCCAGGTTCCTTCGTGCTTTGGCTCGGAACCCAGAGGATTCCATTGATGCCAAGCCCTCACGTGAAGAGCCAAGCGCACCCAGTGAACCTGCGAAGCCAGTGGTTGAGCCTGTCAAAGGTGTCAGATTTGATTTTGATACCTTGAGTCGATTTCAGGGCATCCATGGTATGGGATTGAGCCCTGTTAGCGAAGAGGTGAATTTCCGGAAGCGTCCAAACTATGATGGTTCCCGAAGAAGACACATGAGACTTCAGCGTGCAAGAACTTCGTAACTTGATTCCCAAGTTTCTGGACTTGTTTTCGACTTGTAGCATTGTAGCAGGTTTAATTTGTGTCGCCAATCGCCAAGCAGATTTATCCAAGGCATACTGAGAATGGTCTCAGCCGAGCACGCGTGGAGGGCCTGATCCGACGTGACTGCTGTCGGTGTCAGAGGAAGATTTGTTTTGCCAAGTACCGGCAAAATATGGTAGACCAACTGCTGAAATTCCTGAAGATCTTTTGGTCTCTAGCAAGAGCTGCTCAGGATTCTTTCGTGCCTTGCTTGAGTATAATTTAGCTCTAAGTCTAACAGCAGGGCTCTGTCATAGGTTGCGAGTTTGTTTTGATGGTCAGAGTCGAGTTCTGCATTGAGGTTGTCATGTAAATTGGTTTTGCCAAACCATGTCATTAGTAGGCTATAGAAGCTTTGCGAACACAGTGGCCACTTCATTGCACACAAAGTTTACAGCTTATTGTCGTTTTCGAAGACGTGTGCAATGATGCCATTTGAGGTGCTTTTCGTTGCTGGCGATAAAGCCAACTGCCGGAGGTCCTGGTACGTCTTGGGCAAGCAGGTGTCGCCAGCGTGTGCGATGGCTTTGCTGGGTATGGGCAATGATCGGTTAAGCCGGATATTGCAATTTAGACGGGATATGCGGAAGTCTGACGGAAACGTGCTTTGGTTAAGTTGAACATTGAACTGTTTTGTTACTGTGCAGTTTTTTTAAAATAGGGTGTACCATTGAACCATTGAAACACCTTGGAGCATGCCATCAACTCACTACTGTACTGTGAATGATGACAAGTGGTGGGTTTTGGGTCACTAGACTTAAAATTAGGGCGCCTTGGACACGCTTTGCCAAGAGCCTAGAATTGAGGTAATCAAGCGAACAGCTCGAAAGAGAAGAGCTATAAACATGTTCTTGCTTGGTGTGTACATGAAGTCAGCTGGCATGCTGCCGAACAAGCTTTTTGCTTGCAATTACAACCGTTTTTTGTTGGGGGGGTGAGTACAAATTATGTTTAATAAGTTTAATTAAGTTTAATAGGTGACCGTTCCAAACCCAATGCATAATTAAGAGCTCACGACGACTTGTAATCATCAGGTTTCAGCGAGCAAGTCGCAGCAAGAAGTCTCATGAGAAGATCACAGTGGTATTTGAGTCGGTGGATGACCACGAGTCAGAGGCCGAGAGCACATCAGATGAAGGAGATCACGACGAGGTTATCCCAGAAGAGCCCATCGAAAAGGACCAGGAACTGCGACTTCACGTGCTCGGCATGAACTCCTTTTTCACATCATGCGTGGAAACAAACTTCGCCAGCAACATCAAGAATCTACCTGTCCGGTATTTGCCGCCAGGAACCATTCATATGTTGTGGATGAACATGCAAACAGAGAGGAAAGGCGACGGCATATCGTACAACCATTTTTGGCGTACCTTTCGCCAGGGCTGGAGCAATCTGCTCCGTTTTGTGGCTCCATCCACACACGGGGCCTGTGATGTTTGTTGCGGATTCAAATCCGACTTCAAACGGCAGCTTGACCCTCAAACCAAGTTTGAGACAGCTCGCTGTTACCGACATCATTTGGAAGAGGTCGGTCGGGACCGTGACCTGGAGCAGTTTCTCCAAGCTAGCAACCCTTTGGAGAGAAGTGGACATCCATTGGCAATGCATTGGGCCCCTTGTCAATTGAATCTGTTCACCGCAGTGTGCAGCTACCATTAAGCGTCCTAATGGTTTTAATCCCTTTCTTCTAGGGTGCACTGGGTATATGTTCCGACTTGTGTTCAGTCCATGTAAGGACGGAATGGACCAGAGCAAATGGAGAATCCCACGGTATCATGGCCCCAATGGACAGCGCCCTTTGAAGTCAACGATGAACCTGCAACGACCACAGCTCAAAGTGCAGGGCATATGGATCTTTAACGTTTTGCTGGACCTTTACGCGTCCAAGCTGCAAAGTAGTAATCCTTTGGCAATTGCTGGGGTTGATCGTGCTCAGATGTACAATGTTGTATCATTAACTTACTGTCTGACTCAAGTCTTGAGCTTTCAGGGGCATGTTGCCTAATACACTGACACGGGTATGCCATGTCGAACCGTGCTACTATCAGTTTAATGGTTTCTCTTCATGTCAATACCGGGGGGAGATGCAAGGCATCGTTGAGACAGTGTGACATTGAATTGAAGCACGCCAACAAGCAACACATTCCGCCAGGTTCAATTAATTGCTTTGATAATAATTAAAGAGCGCGCCATTTCCACGGAATAGACAGGTCTAAACAACTTCTTGTTTGTTGAAGCTGAGGGGCTGCAAATGTGGGGATTGTACTTTGTAGTTTGCTGGCCTGAGCCTGAATTCCAACAATTTGCCTCTCTGCCAGGTCCTAGATCCTCGAGTGGCAGCTTACTCAACCACGGTTCTGGAGACCGCAAGTCGCTCAATAGACTTTGCTTTGCAGCTGTGCGATGAGCTGAGAGTTCCCCGCCCCAACCAGCTTTTGGTTTGGGAGCCTTTGATTGAATTGCAACATTTCTTTCTTTATAATTTAGTCAGTCAGTAGGACTGAAAACCGTCGGAAACAAGAGTTCAGTTTCACTGGGAAGCACTTGAAGAACACCCTACTTTGTATCAAACTTTTGCCCCCTAAATTTTAATTCAATGTCTTATAATGTTTTGACCAAGAATAGTTAGTGCTGTAACTTAGGCTGACAATTGCGTGAGGGAGAACAAGAACGGGCAACTTCTGCGGTTCTTGAGCTGGTTATGTGCGACTCACAGGATGAGGATGTGTGGGTACTTCTTTTCAAGAGTGGGCCACACGCATTCAGCGTGTGGTTCCTTGCACGCATTTTGCAGCTCTTGTCTGTGTTGCAGCAACTCCTGAAATCAGTCTGAAGGGGTTGTCTAGGCTCTTGTGAGTTGGACCCACGTTGCTCAAGCCCACAGCCGCCTCCCACTAAGACCAAATCTACGGATTGATCGCGACGGCCATGAAGTACATTGACATTTTGTCAGATGGTCTTGACGTCGCAGCGTCCGAAGCTTAGGGAACGTGATCCAATTGAACATACAGTAAAATAGGTAATTACACTCAGGACTTTTAATGGTTTCATTGTCACCTCAGCCATGTCTCAAGGAAGATCGAGAACGTCTTGAACCGCATCGGGGTCAGGCATTGGATAGGACAAAAGGCACGAATCCGTGTGCAGTACATATCCGGTGTTCGGGAGTTCAAGAACTGGTGCTTTGGTTCAAATGTTTCAAGAATTTTATGATGTTCGTTTTGTGACTTTGTTCAACACATGTTGCACAGTTTTGAAGCTTGTGAGTATGAGATGCAATGTGATTGCCCTTTGAAACAGTGTAAGGCTATCGGCTGCACCGGTGACATTTGCCGGGGGTCTCAAAACGGACGAGACGGGCCTGCACGCGTTCATCTTTATGCGCCGCTCAGGTGAGCAACTGTGGTTCCAAGCGCAATCCAATGACCAGTCTCTTTCTGGTCAACTGTGATTCAAAGCACAATCCATTAACCTCTTTCTGGTCACCACCCTGTAGATTTATGTAATATCTTACCAATAGCTCTAAATAGTGTTTGTGGGCTAGTGCTTGCCTTGAGAAAGTGTCAGAGAAGCTTTGAAGCGTCCGTCAGACCTCCCTGCCAACATCAACATCGTCGCCCACGGTCGGGGTGCGGCCTATGAGACTCACGAATCTGACGTGATCCTGATGGTCAAACGCAACGCTTCGGACGATGGATTGTGTCAGGAGTTGTTCAACGTGAGTTTTTCTTGAATGGGAATACGGATGATATCGTTGTTTGGTAAATATTGGAAAGCTCAATTTTGAAAGTCTTCTTACAGGAGCCAATGTTGGCGTTTCCATACCGGTACGTTGCCCGATTTGGCCCTTTGCCCGCTGAGCCACGAAGCCTAAAGCTGATCAAACCCGCCAAAAAGAAAGACTACTTGGCTTTGGCCCAAATTTTGCTTCGGACAAACCCGTCGGAAGCAACTCGGAGGGCAGTAGAGTTTTTAGTTGGGATTTGCACTGGCTTAGACCCAGAGGCTGTTCCGACCATTAAATGGTTGGAGGAAGAGCCTCGAGCACCCGCTATAGATTTGGGGGGGCTCTCGGTGCTTGACAGGGTTGCACCAGCTATGCGACTTCGGGCCCACCTGCGGCCGTAGCCTGAAGGAAGCTTTTGATCTTGGCCTCCCTTTCTTACTTTGATGACAATGAGTTGAATTTCCATCAACGAAGGCTAAGGCTGGCAGCGTGCGGTCCTACTTCCAAGACTATTGCCACCCCGGAAATCAAAAATCGACTTGCTGTTCTTTTTGTAGCTGTCGCTCATATACTCCTGGACATGATGGTTTGTGCTACACTGGATTCCATGTCATGAACATGTTTCATCCGCAGGCATTTTGCTAGGGGTACCAACTGGGCGCGTGTAGCTTGTTAGGATCAGGGGAAACATTCCTAGCCAGCATAGGCACGATCGCAGGATTTGAATGTTGAAGTGGAACTCCATATTACTCCATCAAACAGAGTCTGATTTGTATTTTCAACAGTTTCTTGGATTCGCCTTGCTGGAGGCATGCCCCATACACTGACCGCTCTGGATGGCCACGGAAACGACTCGCCAGAAGTCCTTGTGAAGGCTTGGGCGTGGGTGCCATGTCTAGCCTAAGCTTCTCATGAGAAGCGAAGCATCAACTTGGCACTGTTGTCTATCAACTGTTCTGGCATGTGTCTTCAGGGCAGCCCAGTTCCAATGTCAAACCCTGCCAAAAGGAAGACCTGTGACGCTGAGGAGCATTGTGCATAAGCTGATTGCCCTTTTCCTCTTAGTGGATTGATACCCTAGAAATGCACCTGAAATGTTGCCGTGCAGGATTACTGGCCTCAGGATGACCCTGACCACTGGTCATACAATGAAGACTCACAGGCTGGTTTTTGGGGGTCAGTGAACAGTCTCAACACCCAACTCACTCAACCTCTTGAAACTGATGAGGTGACCATAGAAATGCTAATCTCGACTGGAGAGGCGACAAGCTGACAGAGTTTTTTAATTGAATCTTCTACCAAGTTCAAGATGAAATCAACCTCCTTGCTTGATAGGTGTCATGGCGAGGTATTCAATACGGACCTGTTTCTGAGCATTGCAACACAGCCCAGCCCCCAAAGCTGCAAACACCGTAACCCTTTGTTGTCATGCCCTCTTGGCTGAGGCGCCACCAGATCAAGATGGTCATGAAAGGCGCGAAGAGGCCGTTGTCTTCCGTCGTGATCTTGCCTTCCGTCCAAGCATTGTCTTTCAACGGCCCTAGACAGTTGACTCATTGTTTGATCCGTATTGAATTATTGTAACACCTGTAAGTAGTTTTTCACATCTTCGAGACTAAGTATGTGCATGGCACCGTGGGAGGCCCCTACTCGAAAGAGCCGGCGCATAGCTTCCGCTTTAGAAATGCAATAGCCTTTCAACAGTGCTTCGAACAATTGATAATTGATGCAAAAGAATGCAAAAGAAACGCTTGCAAAGCAGTCAGTAGTCTAGGTCACGCTTCAATCGCTGTGGGACTTGTGACTGAACATCTATCTTCTTTTGCCAAAGATCAAGGGACAGCTAGGGTTCAGTGTCTTTGCCTTTGCCTGAGCCACATCGATGGCCAAACCAAAGAGATGCAGCCTTCGAGAAGCAGTCAAAATGATTGGAAGTTCTTCCTCAAGGCCAGGTGATGAACCTCTTGAACCATAATAGGCCAAAACACATTGTGGAGGCCGCGGGATCCTGTTCGAGCTCAAGGAAAACACCAAGGGTCCACCAACAGGAGGCGGTATGCTCAGAGGTTTGCTCAAGATGTTCACAATTTACAGGGTTGGCTCAAAAGCTGATGTTGTGGGTTGTTCGCAATCATGATGATCATGTTATTGTTAACTTCCCTTGGGTTTCTGTTTTGGACCTGTCAATCCATTTGGGCCATGCCCCAGGTCTGTAAAGAAGAATGCATTGAAGACCAAAACGTCTTGCTCTTAACCTTTTACTGTTACTTCAGAATATGGTGTATTTCCGTGCAAATGCAAGCAATAAATATAGTAGTTTGCCTAAGTGTAACTGGCATCAGTGATGAACCACTGCACCTGTCTCATGGGTAGATCGGTCGCACTTCGAAACATTCCCGAGGAGACGTTATCCGAAGACTTCAGTAGAACTGCCTGCAGAAGGGCTCCCAGTCCGCTTCAAGAGCATCATTCAAACCTTTGCCTGGCCGGACAAGTTTTTGAAAGTGATAGCTGAGACATATGGAGAACGCTGGCTTCTCAAAAGGTTGTGGAACTGGAGGTGGAACTTGAGCACAGCCTTTAGTGGTATAGGAGCTGCTGAGAGTGTGACTTGATTCTCTTGAAGAATCGATTTCATTCGAATTCTGATGACATTGTTTGCATTTATGTCAAACACCCAATGGACTGTTTGGTAGAAGTTGAATACTTATTAGAGAATGTGCTCCACCCTTTTGCCAAGGCGAGCCTGAGCCTTCAGTCCGCAGCTCACAAGTTTGTGGTTGAAAAGACAGGGTTCAAGAAACCGTTGAGGAATGTCCGTCTTGGATCCAGTTGTGAAGTATCCACAACGTGTCAGACCGTGTTGGCACAGACGTACAACCACTGCAACTACCCTGACATCATGGATATCCAGTTGGGTGCTACATGCGGCAACTACTGCAGCACACATGGCAAATTCTGCAAGCCTCAAAAGAAGACCAACACCCGTAGCTTGCCACATGATTGAACGACTTGCCGCTTCATGATAGCATGGCTCATGGCGTATATCTATTTTGTGTTCGTGACCGGGATCTATTTTGTGAACGAACTGCCCCGCCTTGCAAGGCATCAATGTCAATTGTGCTGGCTCCTCAGCTGAGTTCAAGATGTCAGCCAGCCGAGCGCAGGAGTTTGTGGTGTTGTCCTTGAACTTCGGTCAACATGTCCAAATAACTTGTTGCTCAAATTTCAACAAGCCAATGTTCAAGCGCTTTCACTTTATCCAAGGACCAGTTTGTGTAGCTTTCTCGCTGATGGGACGTCGGCGGAAAGAACAGGACATCTCATTCAGAACACATGAGAAATACTATCAGGAGTATGGCAAATCAAATTCCGTTCTGATTGTGGAGAACGTTACAGAATATTCTGAAGAGATTGTGGCTGCTCGTTTGGGGCCGTCTTGGCGGATTCAGGCGACCAGGCTAGACCCTCGTATCTTCGGCATGGGCGTTTCGAGGCCGCGGCTTTATATGATTTGCTATGACTCCGACCATGTCCGGTGGGATGCTGACTTCACGCTCAATGAGTTCGTGACAGCTCTGGCGGCCAAACCAGTGCTTACTGCTCGGGACTATTTTTGGGAGAAAGTTCCAAAGAAGAGACTCACAAATGCGGAGGAACCACAGCAAAAACAGTAGGTGTGTGCTTGGGTGGTTTTTTGGGGGTACAGTAGTTTGAGCGCACAAACTTACCATCATGATGTGTTGAGCAAATTCGCGTCTAAGGGTCAAGGCATTTCAATGTTTCCCTCATATCTAAGGAACAGAACCTCATGGCATACCGTGCGTTGGATTCCAAGAGATACAATATTGTTGATTTGACTCAATATGCCAAGAATGGCAGACCTCGTGGGCAGCTGAAAGATGGCTCCCTGATGACACTGACTACAAATTGCGGGAAGTTCTTCTCTGAGGACCTGACACATTTAGTCTTGTGCTTCTAGCAGGGCCGCACACACCTGGCAGAATACAAGTTAGCAAAGTTTGCTTGTTGGTTGGTTTTTGGGGCAGGGGCTAGGGAACTTTGTGTGCAGGATCATGGACGGGTCATGGCGCCAAAGGAGTTGCTGACAGCTCAAACTCTCCCAACGACGGACCGTCAAAGTGAGACATGTGGCGCACCTAAGTTGAATCTGCAAAAGATTAATTCAACAGCAATCCCAAAGCTAGCTGGCAATAGCATGTCGGCGCCGTGTGTGGGATGTGTGCTGCTTGCCGCAGTTTGCGCTATTAAAGCCAACCGTTGAGGAAATGCAGCTCAATGAGCAGTTGGCATGGTCGATTCTTTTTTGCTAGATGATATATTCGGGCCCTTGACCATAACTCGATGTTTCTTTTGGTGTGGGCATGCCGGCGATGAGTTTTTTTTATATTACGACTGGCACTGGAGCGTGCAGAATCTTGCGTAAGAACTTCTTCTTGAACCTTTAAGAGCCAAAAAGAGAACTCCTTGAACCGAATAAACAAGTTTGTTCCGCTCTGTGTCATTCAATTAGAGCCTAGCTAATTGCAATGCATCCGTACAGCTGTTCTTCACCAAAGGCCCCGCTGGCTTCTCGGAGCAATTCATCGCATTTGTTTTCGGATCATAGTATTATGTAGCATGTGTTCGAGAAACACACTCTGAAGAACTGGTCCAATACCTGCGCTGACAACAGCAATCAAGGCTTACTTTAGTGGCCTTGGATGAAGAGGTGGTAGTCTATTGAAGGCTCTTGTGTTTTCGCTTTTACTTGTTGAATCTGACAGCAACTGGCACCAAGAGTTGTTGAATAGTTTCTTTTTGCACTTTGAGAACACCAAGCTGTTGCAGCTCATGCCCAGGTGACTATGGGGAACATGGTTACTTTCGCCGGAGACCTTGGTCCTAGCATCGACTCGGCGCTCGCAGGTGCCCAAAACAAATAGTCTTTCATCAAGAGCTGAAGGTTTGCTCAAATTCTTTTGCAGTATCATGCCAATTGCCAGACTGGAGAAAACTCAACAAACCTGATCTTCCGGCCTTGATCGTGCTCAAGGTTTGCTTGACCGGTGTCGGCCTGAACACTGGTTGGGTCGTGGGATGGGGAAACGATCTGCGGTAGATCCCGACCGGGGGGGCTAAGAGTGCGAAAACTGTTCACACTCCATGGGCCGACAAGATTCTGAATGAAGTGAGGCCGGGTTGCACGATTCCGAAACCTTTGACTACTGAGTAGCGAGGGACTACAAGAAATTGAATGATAGGCTGCCACTTGTATTCCTGACAGGTCATTTGATCTTGACAAGGATGAACACCCGGTCAAGTATCTACTCAGCAAGTTGAATGCTGGCCTGTACCATGCTATTCACGAATGGTTGGTGAATGATGTCGGGATCATTGCTTCGGATCCGGATTCGATGATTTTTTCAGTGGCTTTGGTTTTCGATTATTGTAAGAGTGGTGCTTGGTTGTCAAAGAAAAGTATCTCTAGCCCAATTCATGTTCCCTGCCCTTTGGATTAGAGTACAAGGACCAGCATGGAGCTTTCCTTCAGCTTCCCGCCCTCGCCTTGTGGTATGAGCTGCCATCAGACGGTCTTCCACAGCTTCTTCCTTGGATGTCAGTCGCGAACGAAATTTATCGTTCGGGCTTTGAGAACATGAGGGAGCCCTTCGAAGTGAAGCCTCGGAATGATATGGCAAGGATGCCCCAATTTACAGTGACGAAGGGTGCTGGGCGAGCTTCCATGATTCTGTTTGCTATCGTCTACACCTATTTGGAGATGTGGAACTCCTTGGACAATCACGAAAAGAAGGATTTTGTAAGGCGTTCCGGTGTATTTGGGTGGTATTTGGGTGGTATGTGGATGTATTTAGTTTGGTGGGTACATTGGGTTATTGTTAAGTATTTGGGAAGTATTTGTTGGGTATGACTGCATTTTGATATTTAGGAAGTACTTGGTACTATGTATTTGGGAAGTATTTGGTAGGTATTTGGGAAGTATTCGATTGGTATTTGGGAATTATGATAATTTGGGAACTATTTGGAAGAGCTATTTGGCGGGTATTTGGGAACCAGTTGGGTATTTGGGGGGCTATCAACATCGTCCCAAAGCACTCCAGAGGACAAGACCTCAGGGGGTGATGCTCCGTGTCTAACCATCGTCCCCAGGGGTAGCCGTGGCATGACCAGAACATGGTGACTCCGCTACTTAGTAGATTTGCAAACAGTCGCAAATAGGCATGGCCTACGTACGAAGATTGCCATACAATACTAGATATTTGGCAAATGATTGGATAGCCTTTGACCAAGGGGTCCAGGGGTGATGGTCCGGGTGGCACCATCGTCCCCAGAGAAGTCATGATTTGGAAGGCCCAGGGATGATGTTGATATGCCCACAAACAAGTTCCCCAACCAACGCAAATATCCCGATGCCTATTTGCCAAAATACCACCTTTCGACTCTGTGCCTATTTGCCAAATTA